AATATCAGGATTCCATGAATTAAATACTGTACAAATAAATAATGCAATTTGGGAAATATATATAAATAAATAATTAAATAAATAAATGAATAAATAAATAGATATCGTTAAATACACTTATGTAAATGTAACAAAATACAGATATCCGAGCACCCCTAGCTTTTGCACCACTTTTTATAGCCAGATGGCATCTTCTAAAGAAGTCGTAAAGCGCAGCGAACTTAAATTAAATAGCATCTTTATGTTTTTTGGGATTCGGGTTGTGGTCTTCTTTTTTTTATTATATCAACGCCCAAGCTTTCGACAAGTTTTATTGTCCACTTCAGGGGATCTACAGAGACATAGGGACATAATCATTTAGACAGTTATAAATTGTATAAATAGTTATAAAATATCAGTTTTTTGTTACTTACAGATACAAAGTCAAATCGTAAACACATTCCACGATATGTATATAAACAAACTATATACATATATAATAAATAAATAAAAACCTCTTCTTAACAGCCTCTTACATATATAGGCATTTTGTAAAACCAGTAACAATTACTTAATAAATAATATTCTTTTTGTACATAAATATCACAGGCGTTTGACTAGAAAATTGTGTTTATCACGTTATCAGGTGGGAGGTTCCCCACACTATCACCTAATGATAACAATCATTTTCACAATTTTTAAAAACAAGATCTTAATTTCTAATACATTGGTAATTCTATGTTATCACAGCCTGTTATAATATATAAATAAATAAATAAATAAATAAATAAATATGTACGCAAGTATTGTTACGATCTTTTGGGAGTCCTTATCTTTTTCTAAGATCCCACTGTACATCACACTTAAATTATTCAAATCTGTTTTTAAATTACAGGCCATGTTGTCCTGATGAATAGATATCATTTCCCTCAAAAGTCTACGGCCTGTATTTTGTTCAGAAGCCACAATTTTGACTCCATCGAAGTCAAAATTATGTTTTGTAGCGTGTGTATGTTTGGATAGTGCTGTTCCCGGCCTTTCTTCATCATTGCAATCATACCTATGGTGCCGCACCCGTTCGGATAAATATTGCTTTGTTTGGCCGTAATACACAGTGGGACATTGTGCACATTTAATGCGATACACTACATTAGAAGACCACAACCCGAATCCCAATCAACATCGTATGAAAGCTGGTTGATCGCACAACAAACATTAGTCTTTATGTTTTTTTTTAGTTTATAATTTTCAGAAACTGCTGTCTTTGGTCGTCATACACAACACATTCGAGCAATAAGTGCTCGCGACTCTCCTCAACATCACACAAAGCGCAGTCTGGAGACGATTTGGACTTTATTTTGTACAGATATGCTCCACATATACCAAGGCCAGTCCTAATACGCGTAATTGGAGAGGAAAAGGCTTTGCCTCTCCCTCCTTCACGAAACCTTTCTTTTGTCTTTTCTTGTATCGTAGGGAATAAAGCACGGTAATATTTTCCCACATTAGCAGTTTCAAACAGCTTTTACCATTTTCTGATCAATTCTTTTTTTGACTGACTTATTATATTTCCTCTGGTCAATTGAATGTCTAAGGGAATTCCTTCAGTGGTTGCTAACTTGGCTAAATGATCTACTTTTTCGTTGAAATGTATGCCTGCATGCTTTTCACCCAGCTTATGTTCACGGTTTTTCCTTGCTCAGTTAAATTATATATTTTTCTGACAATTTCTATTAGAAAGTACTCGTGTCTGGTGTTGATCTTAAAATTGCGGAGCTGAGAAGCCGCGCTCAAGCTATCGGTCATCCCGATTATTACATTCGGAATATCTCAAACCATTTAAAATACACCTTTCCTCGTCATCGAAACATAAATGATACCCTTCACACACAAGTGCATAACCTTAGTATACCGCTTCCTTTTCATCTACCTCTCATACCTTTTCATCCTTTTGAAGTACTAATTCACAAATTCCCAAGTAGAAAATCCCCTCGGCATGAACTAATTACCTCCACCTTACTTCAAAACTTCCACAAAAGTCACTTTTCTTAATCACAACATGTAATGCCATTCTACGAATCACTCAATATCCTCGCTTAGAGTCAAAAATACTGGGCGTCTAAACGCTAGACACCTAAAACCGCGTCTAAAAATTCGCTTTTCGTGTTTGATGACATACTAGGCGTCAAAACGCTCTTCTCCCTCCTCAAACGTCTGGCTGTCGCTGGGATTCCAGTCCACTCTACATCATCTAGACGCTCACCCGCCGACACAAGGCGTCAAAATTTTTGACACAATCAGCGATTTTCAATTTGGACGTTGCTATTTGCTCTAGTGTTTAGACGCCTAGTATGTTATGAGCCTTATGGAAACAGTGTTATTCCTAAAACTCACAACTCCCAACCATACATCCTCTTTCAGACCCATCGTTCTCACTTCAATGTCAAAAATCCTTGAAAAACTCTTTTCAAAGCACTTCATACCCAACCTAGATACTCATAATATCATCTCTTGTCAACAATTCGGTTTCCGTTCTCATCACCCCACGATCCAACAAGTTTTTAAAGTTGTAGGCACTATCTCATCCTGCTCTAAGGTATTACTTGGTGTTTTCCTATATGTAGCACAAGCTTTTGGTAGGGTCTGGTACTCGGGCATGCTTTGTAAACGTAAACGCTTACTAAACACTCCTTATTACATTATCCTGAAATTCAATGTACTATCTGCTCCAGAATGAGGTGCGGTTCAAGCCGACGTCCCACAAGGGAACTCCATCCTTATGTCATTTGTACTGTTGAGCTCCCTCTACATCCTAATACCATCAAGGATATCGCAATTTTGTCTTCCAACTCGAATCCTATCCAAGAACACCTTGAGCTTACCTAAGGCTGGTGCAAAAGTGAAGGATGGAATGAAGAAAAATGTACTCACTGTAACTTCACATTGAAAAACATCTCAATTACGTATCGTATAAACAACAAAGCAATACTGATTTTCATCCAAGTTAAATACTTAGGATTATACCTAGACAGCAGACTCACGTAGAATCCCCACACAAGAGTTAACAGACAACTTAACAGAAGAGTACGAAACAAGTACGAAAATTTGTTGGACGAAATCCGTGTTAGCCGTCAACACTAAACTCACCTTAAAGAAGACTTTACTGCGACCACTTTAGTTAGCCATACGAAGTGGAGTATTGAGAGGTCCCTCCAATCCATCCAACATCCAGCGCATCCAATCCGTCCAATCAAAAAACCTCAGACAAATCGTCAAATCTTCTAACTAAGTCACTAATCTCACTATTCCCAACGACATCAGCAGTCGACATCTTTTGTCACATTCCAAATTCCTTTCCCAATTCCAAAAGTTTCACATCAACCTATCGATCCTACCTTCGTAAAAAAGTTTACGTTCTAATTTAAACTTTAAAAGTTGTACTGCCTCTGAAGTCTTTTAACAACAAAAGGGCACCCTGTATTCTGATTTTCAGGATTGACTTCTAAAAACCTAGACATTTAGTGGGTACAAAAAAAAGAGAAATTTTTTGGTAGGACATGTGACGTTTGTAAAAACAATACTCACATACAAAGACAAAGATAGATGGGAGAAAAGATTTTCTCCTAATTCTTCAGGGTGATACGGTCCAGGTTCCCGTCATCCCTATGAATTAGCGATTTTACCCCAGGAAGAAATCAAAGATGAATCGTCAGACCAAGATTTCAACCAAGGGTTTACAACGAAAACGGTCTGGCCGGTATGGTTTGCTAGAACTGATTTTTACCTGCCATAAAATGCACATAGAAAGAACAGCTCTCTAACGGCGAGACAAAAATCGGATGACGACGGGGTGTAAATCGTGATACGGACGGAAATTCCGCCGCAACACGTTTTTCACGGCCTCTTCGAGTTGAATGTTTAAAATACCCACCGGTCAACAAGAAAAAATACATCAAATTAATATTTCAGGGGCTATAAAAATAAAATTAGGATTCAGGGCACGTGTAGGTCAAATAGAGTGGTCCAACAGAGATTAAATTACGGAAAGCCAAAAGGCCCTAACGCCTCTTCCCAATCTTTAAGGCCGAATAATATTACTATAGATCTACTTCAATAGCCTCACAACCTTAACCACAGCTTTCTTTTAGTACTCCTTTAGTAAAACAGGCCTTTTATAGCATTAACTAATGTTTTTACAAAACAAATTTTTCAATTGTATTCAAATCATGAAAAATCGAAATAGTAAATCAGAAAGGCTTAAAATAACAGTGGAATGTTTAAGAATACAAAAATATATGGTACACTTTGTACAATCATATTTCCTTTTATCTTTTCATTGTAAGCCAAGTTGAAGATAGAAGTTTTATATCAAAAAATATCTGAAAAACTTAAACGTGCACCTGGCGAATTCGTGGAATATGAAAATAACAGTACTTACAAGGCAGGTCGGCCGATTTTATTGTGCGCGACGAAAATTCAATAAAACATGCAAATATTTCGTCAATAAAGGGAATAAAGCGATGGGAAGCGTACGGTGAATTCTGGCAAAAGGAAAAGTTTGACCCGTGGGACACCGTGGTTCGACTATTGGATACAATAATTGAGTCTCCACGCTTTTTATTGGGGCGGAATTCCGACTTTCGGATACCTCTAAGATGGGTTAAACATGACATTTGCCACCTATTACAATATTTTTATCCAGGATATCTTCTAAATGACGATGGAATGAAAAACAATCTTGTTGAAAGATGAACAAAAAAAAAACACAAAAAAAACAGTAAATTTGTTAAGAAATTTTCTATTTTTCTATTAAACATATCTGTGAAGCAAAAACAGACTCTACAGCGGGATAATAAAGGCACAGGTACTTCTGCTTTTGGGCCAAAGCCCTCCCAGGTGCCCTTTATGCAGAGAAAAGTCATTCGATGTGTCCCACATAATAGAGACGTACCTTTGCTCCATTCAGAGAGCGTGTAGGCATGCAGCCGAATTTAAGGTTCTCGGACACGGTAGCGAGTTCCAGGGTTCCCTGTTTCGCTTTTTAGGGGAATTGGGAATTTTTTATTTTATATAGCCTTATGTGTTCATTTCATCCTTGTCAAGGGGAGTGCTAAACTTCTCTCCTTTCTTACAACACGAAATATTATTGTATATATATTGTATATATTATTTTATTGTAATATTATTATTACTTTATTATTTTACTATTATTTTTATATTTTATTTTATTGTATATATTGTATATATTATTATTGTATGTAGCCGTCGAAATATGTGTTTCTGTGTTTTTATGAGTGAGTGTATTTGTTAGAATGAATTGGGAGGGGGCTAATGGTGGAATAGCATCCCCATCGACCCTCGAGCTTTGTATTTATAATAAAATTAATAAATTCTTTTAAATTAATTAATCTTGAATTAAGGTATTGGTTGAGATAAAAAAGTCAGTGTCACGAGCGGGATTCGAACCCATGACCTTCGGCTAAATACGCCGCTGCTCTACCACTTGATCTAATCTACAAGAGGAGTAATTAAAAAAGCACATAATAACAAAAAGAAACAATTGAGTAATTAAACAATAATAACAAAAGCACATACCTTAAGTATTCCTGGCATGTATACGTTTCAAGTTGACTTTAAATGAAAGCAAGGAATTGTGAAAATCTATTTCATTGGAATAATAGTCCAGCAATCTCATTATCCTCGGTAGAGGAGACTTTAGTTCTGGAATTTGGTTCAAAGAACAATTTATGATTTCTTAGTTGTCGCTGAGGTACACATAGTGATAAATATAAGTTTTGGATATCAAGGGCCCCATTCCACAATTTCCAACTCCAAATGACATCAGCTGATGAACGGAGGGAACTTAGTGATTTTAGACCAATCATTCCAAGTGATTCAAATCTGCAAGACCAAATCTGAAGGCCATTATCCTGGTTACTTTTCTTTGTACTTTTTCTAAGTCGCTAATCTCACCGACATGGAAAGGAGACCACACAACACTTGCACATTCCAGATGGCTACGTGCGAGGGAGTGATGTAATGTTTTAAATGCCAAGACATTTTTAAAATCTCCAGAAAACCTAGTACTAAAACCAAGATTGCTTAGAGCCTTACCTCGAATTTGCTTGATATGGTCACTGAAATCGCCCTTTCTGTTGAAAACGACACCAAGGTCGGAGATTTCATCCTATTCCAATCTTTGCCCTACAACGAAATAATCTAAACAATAAAAGTCACGAGGTAAGATATTTTTAATAAATTTAATTATCTTGCATTTTTACTATTCAAAGGAAGGCGATTCTGCTCACACCAAGGAAGAAGCCCAGTTCCCCCTGTAAACTAACGCAATCGTGAGCTGAAGACACGGAGTTAAAAATTTTCAAATCATACGCCAATAAAGAAAACTTACAATCCTTGAATATTCTGTAGACATCATTGAAATAAACATGAAATAATTGGGCCCGGAGAGAGGCCCCCCCCCCTGTTAAATCAATTATACAAATATGTTTTTCATAATATGAAATTAATACAGACTTTGGTGATGACCTTAAAAACAGTCGGAAGATTGGCAGTAGCAACTAAATTTGCTTTCTTCTTCAAGACCATACCTTGATTCAAAGTGTTCATAAAGAAAACACACTAACATAAGCATATTAACAATTTTAGTTAAATGCCTTAACCTGGTGACGTTTCATATTGTTGTTAGAATTAGAATAATTTATAGTTCGATGGATCCATGGCAATAAAGATGTTATACAATGATCCGACATAAAATGTATAATCATGACAAAAAGGACTCGTCCGTACCTCCGTGGAATTAAGCCCCCACCGGCGTTTCACGCAATGTTTTTGGCCAGTTTTAATATTGAATAAGAAAGAAGAACGCCGGCCGATAAATAACATAGAAACGGTCCCATTGCAATAAATTACCAATATACCCGACTCCCCTTATAACCCTTAAATGGAGTACTTAAGTTTGCCTCTTGCTCCTTCCTTCCCTCAGCCGTCTCAATCGCCTCATATTTCCTTGGACTTTTTATTCAAAGAGAAAAACTATTTCGGATTGATTAGACAGGATTATTTTCTTATGAAGACAAACGATAATGATTATACTAAAAACAAGAATAATTTCGTAGAGGAATTTTAAAATCATATATCTAGAACGCTGTACAAATATTAATTACACTGCTAAAAGCACTGCCATTTAACATATTATCCAATTCACTAGTTTTCGTGGTCCGCTTGACCAATTAATATCTTTCAATTAATTAAGGTTTTTAGTTGAGATAAAAAAGTCAGGGTCACGAGAGGGATTCGAACCCACGACCTTCGGCTAGATACGCCGCTGCTCTACCACTTGAGCTATCGTGACTTCAATCCACACGGACACTAACTTCCCAGCTCAACCCCACTCTTTGAATTTTCTCTCCTTTTTGCCATTATTGAAAGTAGAAGGCAGGAGAGAGCGGACGCGCTGGAATGAAAAGGGGCTGCGATGTCGCAGATAGGTGCTGAAGCCATCTATAGCAAAGGGATTCACATTATCAATGAATATCTTAGACAAAACGAATTGGACAGAAACAATCCAAGAACCTTACAGCACGTTTTGGAAGGAAAGAAAAAAGAATGCTTCAAAGGACAGGAAAAAACTTGGAATCTAACAGAGTTGGTGCACATTCATGGTGCAAAGAAGCACAGGAGAAACCAACTCACCTAATAAACTGGGGCGCTACATCTGCTATGGAAGTGCTTTGTGATGAAGAACATAACGGTAGAAGAAATTCAACCACTGAGACTGGCCCTAGTAATCAAGTTCCTTAATGAAGCAGGACCGGTGTGCTATTAGCACAGTATGCGGGTTACAATAGCTCTCAAAGGGCTAGTCTACAATAGCTCTAAGAATCCGTTAAATAATAATTGGGCGAACAAACAAAGTAGTCGAATAGGTTTGAACGAACTACATTTTACCATTTCCGGCCTTTTGCTTTATTCTCTAGTATAGCAATAGCGTAGGTTTCCATTTTATTTGTATTACAAAAAAAAATTGTTTCGAATTCATTACTTTTTAATTGAGACAAAAGATAAGCGTTCTATTTTGAAAAATGAGAAGAAAAGAAACAATTTTTTTAAGTTTCATCAAAACCCAGAAAAGAAACTATAGATGAACTGTGAAAGAAAAAAATAGAGGGAACAAATTATAACTGAAATTACTCAATTTATCGACTTAGCAGTACAGCCGCAAGAATTAAGCTTGTATTACGGGAAAATATCCAGCTTTTTTACATGTTTATCTTTCTAATTTTCACGTAATGGGTTTACTAAATTTAGAAACAAATTTTTAGGTAAACATAATAAAAATACAAATGAAGTGCAAGATAAAGACTGTGTAACAAAATTATATTTTTTATATTACATTTTTCTGGCAGGATGATATTTTTTATCTCCACGGTACAAAATAAAATAAATATAAAGACCGTTATTATGGTGGCTCGGGCACTGAGGAATCCCCACAAATTAGACAGGCATAACGTTACGTGATCTACTTCTTATTTCACTAAGCTAATAAGGCCACTGCCATGTTTGCTCACAACGTATGTCATAACTTCTTCAGAGAGGCTTTATCTCCATTTCATAAATGTTGCATTAATTAACGGAGCTTCACTGAAAGTTAATTCAAGCGTAAAATTAAACTCATCGACCGATTATTATGGAATAAATCGTAACACCATGACATTCCTGATATTTTTCACAGTATTATTTCAATACTCACGAATCTCTTAACGCATATGTGTTATCGCAGTGGCTTGGATTGAAATTGGAGTGGCTACCCGACTATCATGTTTTTCGAGCAAGTCTTAAGCAGGGAACCCACATAGCCGATCCAACGCTATGCAACGCTACCTGATGCTACCCAACGCAAATCCAAAGTCCAATTTTCCATAAGATTGTATTACTCCCGTACACATCTGCCTGATGCCACGCAACGCTACCCTACTTTTCGCTCTGCGATCCCCACTGTCCAGATTTTCGTCGGGTCGCATCGAGTACAGTCGAAGACAAAAGAACTGGACACGCATATTTTTATTCAAACTATATGTATTATTGTCGTTATATTAATTACAACATGCTTATTTTAATCTAAACCAAATTAACCGAGATAAAAAATTCATTAATTTTTATTTAAAAAAAAATTAATTTGAATGGTTTGGTAGAAAAATAAAAACACTGAAATACTATATACAGTATATAATTTTTTGATATAATGAATTTAAATAACAATTCATTAAATTCACGAATTTCGTGGTCCGCTTGACCAATTAATATATTACAATTAATTAAGGTTTTTAGTTGAGATAAAAAAGTCAATGTCACGAGCGGGATTCGAACCCACGATATTCGGCTAGATATGCCGCTGCTCTACCACTTGAGCTATCGTGATCTCGATCCACTCCAATTACACGACATTTGAAAAATGGCAAAAAGGAGGGAAAATTCAAAAGGTGGGGTTGAGATGGGAAGTTAGTATCCGAGTGGATCGAGGTCACGATAGCTCAAATGGTAGAGCAGCGGCGTATCTAGCCGAAGATCGTGGGTTCGAATCCCGCTCGTGACATTGACTTTTTTATCTCAACTAAAAACCTTAATTAATTGTAATATCGTTCAACGTTGGAAAAATTGACATAAAAGAATTACTTTTGTGATGAACGTAAAACAGTATAAAACAAAAAATCTTTAATTATGGGGGCGTTGGTGGCCACAACAGTTTAAGATCTTTAATTATGGGGCCTGCATTCGAACCCGGGACCTTGCAGTAATGAGCGCCGCGTAACGCTTAAACCGTTGTGGCCACCAACGCCCCCTTTAATTAAAGATTTTTTGTTTTATACTGTTTTACGTTCATCACAAAAGTAATTTTTTATGTCAATTTTTCCAACGTTGAACGATATTTTTATTTGCCCACTAACCAAATATTTTAATAAATACCTTATTTATAAAATATATCGGTGTTAATGTTACTTAAAAGGGAATACATAAAAAATATACTTTTTTTGTGAAGCATTATATACATAATGAAATTTTTTTAAAATATAAGGAAAGCTTTATAATAAAATGTTGTATGTATTAAATAACAATTTA